CAATAGATGGCTAAAATGCGAAAATCTATCATATTTCAGAAGCAATAAATTCTAATTGTGCAAAAACAAAAACCTGGAATTTTAGAGAAAGGCTGCTGCCGTTCTTAAATTGGAAAATACCTTAGTGGCTTTGGCCTTTTTCATAAGTAGAAGAACTTTAATTCAGTAAATAAATAATATATTGATCGAGCAGTAACAAACAGAGTTGCCATCACTCATTATAGCTCTGCAAATACCAAGATATATTGTTATCTAAGGGGAGAAATGAGCAAAATTATACACATTTGGCAGCTCTGCCTGCTTTCGAATTTCTACTTTAATTACTATTCCGTTCCATAATCTGTATGCGAAGTCTTGCTTCCTGCTCACATGCATTTATATTTATTTATGGAATCCACCATTATGCAATCAGCTGCCAACAGCTCTTACTCGGTAATAAATGTTATGACTTTACGAGCTGATGTTGATGCTTAAATTTAATTAATTCGCAACGCAATGTGGCTTACCTTGACATATTCAATATAAATTCAAATTTTCCATATTAATCTGCATTTATGCTCATAAATAAATCATACACGTGTGTATGAGCATCTGTTTGTGTCTCTGTGAATGTAGATAATAACGAGAGAAGCTCAGTGGAGTTGGAAGCTTAATGAGGAAATGTTACGAAATTAAATATTGAATTATTGTTTTTGAAATGATGCATTTTAGTTAAAGCTTTAAAGCAGTCTAAAAGCTGCAGAAATGAAAGCTTAAGTTATATGTCTTACTGTTTATTATTTCAGCTTATGAAAGCACTATTTGTATTACTTATTTATCCTTAAATTGTGTAGTAGCAGCAGATATGCGCAAATTTCCATATTCAAAAATTATGAAAAAAATGTCTCTAAGGCCTGGGTCAATATGACCCAGCTAGCTTGTCATTAGGTTAATACCAAAAATCATCCATGCATTTTTGTCCTCCCCACGCTGGCTCAACATAAATTATTGTATGACATTTAATAGCAAAGAATAAAACTGTGGAAATACACCGGGCCAGCGGTGCGCCGACAAAGCCGCGGTAATTATAATTCCGACATTGAAATTGATTAATTTCGACAACAAATGGTTGGTTTTAAAACATTTACGAAATCAATGGCACTGCATCAGCATATTCATTGTATGCTGATGCTTCTGTGCAATCAAGCTTTTTATGGCGAAATAAATTTATTTTTTTCCTCATATTTGTATGAGTGGACATTGTGCATGTGTGTGTGGATATAAATGTGTCAGTATGTGTTAATTTTGTATGTCGGTGCGCATTAACTGTCAGCAGCCGCCATCTTTTCGAATAGCCATTAAACGCGTTTCTGCCGCCAGACAATGGCCCTGCCTCCCGTTGAGTGCTGCTAGCTTCCCTTTCACAAAAACTTACTGTGCTTTTTCCGAACTTTCAGTGTTTTTTCTTTTTTTTTCTGCTGACACATCACAGTCCAAGAGAGCCTTGGATTTTTGTGCGCCTATGTAGTTTGTTTTGTATGTGTGCGTGTCTGATGATTGTTATGAACCAATTTATGTTGCCGCGTTTTAGGCGTTCCAACTGTTGTGGACACTAAAAGGGTGCGACTAAAAGCATTGCTCTGAGTGAAAATCGTAAAGTTATTAAAACGGTTCAGCAAAACAACCATATATGAAGTTTCGACTCTCTTGTTTTAATATAAAACCACCAGTCAAACTCTCACTAATCGACTTTTTAAAATTTTCATTACTTTGAATATCAATGGCAACCCGGTTGTGGTGATGTTTAATAAAAAAAAATACGAAATAACTCGCTTTTCGTATGCTTACTTTAAACATTATACATATGTATGTGTACTTTCAATATCTGTCGCCGTATACACATACATACATACAAATTCACTCACATATTTCAGAAAATATCTGGTAAAAAGTGTCACCTATAGGTCGACCAATTAAAATGACGTTTGTAACGTTAAAAATTCAAATGACTTTACGCGACTCTCAACGTTTTAATTGGACTTTTTGTGAGCAGCTCTGAGCCGCATTGCTCTTTGCGCTCGACTACGTACTTATACATACACATGCATGCTTTGCTTTTTCTGCTTTAAAGGCGTACATGACATGTATAATTTATTTGGCTTATCAAGGCTCGCACAAAATTGCTATTTCCTCAAAGTGTTTGCTTTTTTTGTTTTTTATAATGGTGAGTGGAATTTTAAATTACCAAAAAATCAAAAATAATTACAAATAAAGAAGTTTCGAAATAAGCACTTGATTTTGATCGTTCGTTTGTGCGTTAGCTATGTGCTGTGTGGTCCGATCTGAACAATTTCTTCGGAGACTGCATCATTTCGCCAATGAGTAAGAACAAACTCCAAATACTGGGAATAATAAAATAAAGCCATAAGGTCTTCTCAATTTACCTGATGGTATGAACGAAATTAATATCGTCATAAATAGCATTCTAAACGAATAAAACTATCTATCAAAACCAACACTATACATATAAACATCGCATTAACTTTAAGGTTGTTTTCTCAATGTCGGGTTACCAGCCTTTCTTTCCAGTAAATAGAGTTGTCAGCTTAATAGAGCATCCATTGAAAAGAGCTTTCACTGTACTTTTTTCTTTATGAATTAGTTTTGATATCTATTAAGTTGGTTCGAACTGGACACAGTGTGCTAAATTCAACTAAATTCGGTTTAGTGGTTCAGGAGTCCATTTCGGACAAAGAACGTGACTCCTACTTTTTATATATAAAGATTAACTAAAATTTCGTGGCTTCAATTAACTCTACATATTTAGGTGCCAGTGTTTAATAGGAAAGCCCCTACATACCAAACATGAATTTGTTAACCCGCCTTTAAATTCCCATATTTTGCGCCTAATATACAAGATGTTCCTTGCAGCACAATATCCTTTGATTAGGTGCTTGATTTAATTACAACACATTGTTAGTTGAAGTCCACGTTTTATTGTGTATGAAATGTTTATGTGTTCACAGATAGTCGTAGCAATTATGTCATCAAGCCTTATTATTACTGCGCAATATATTGTAATTAGAGAATTATGTGAATCGTATATGCATATTTGCAATTACATGTGTATTGGTGACTTCCTAATTATATTCTCAACTACTAAATATTTGTCTAATTAAGGTTGTTCATAAATATAATTAGCATATAAATACCCAACAGTGTATGTCATATTGTGCAGTAAATATTTAAAGTGATATTCAAACTCTTTTAAAACTTGTTCCGTCAGTTAACCACTTTACTTTACTTTTGCCGAGGCAATTATTTAACAATAGATTTTAATGCGTAATTTTAGTATAGTACGGTTGAATCGTTATCAACGAGGCGGTGTATTCGCAGAAAAATTACGAATTTTGATCAAGCTTTTGTTACTATTTCTAATTTGTTTTTGTTAACATGAGAATTTGTACAGCGCTGTTTGTCTGCAATTCTGCATATATTGCTTTCGAACGCAGAGCTCAAATGCGGTGAATTTCGGTTAAAAGCAGGCTGCCGAATGTAGGCATGAGCTTAGTAAAGCTTTTAATATGTTTTTAAAAAACAATGTTTAAGCCGAGTTTAAAGATTTTAAACATGATTTTATAATTTCAAAATATATGAAGAGGACAATAAACTGAAGGGATTTACGATAAGTGATTTGAGAGTTTTCACGTGTTGACCCGACTTGTATCGCATTAAGATATCCCGCTTACCATCACCGATATAATATTAGGATACACTGCGCATCATCAGGTTAGCACATACCCTCGTGTAAGTGCTTTAGGTTCGAAACAAAAAGCGCTAATGTTTTGAAAATTAATAAAAATTATTTTTGTTTATTTCCCATTGAATTCCGAGTTAAATAAACAAAAAATACTGTTTTTTATAATATATATATATATATTTTTTTTTTCTTCGAAAAATAACATAAAAATTAACAATTCGTATTTGGTGTTCAGGTTTGCACACATCATTTTTTTTTTCATTTTTGAAAAGTTGTTTAACCATGAAATTTTTTATAAATGGTGACATATAGTAATTTAAACATTTTTATACAAAAATTAATAACGTGTCGATCCTCCCTTGTTGAGAATTACCTCATAGGTTCGATTGCGAAGCGATTCATATAATTTTCCAATATAATTAAGTGAAATGGTGGACCAATCGTTCTTGATGCCTTCAATTACCTCCTCTTTGTTGGAATATTGTTTCCCAGACTCGAAAACTTTATGAGCCAGCCATCCCCATAAGTTTTCTATTATATTGATGTCGGGTGAATAAGGCGGCCACTGCATTAGGCGGACATTTTGGTCCTCAATGCATGACTTAACCTCCCGGGCAGTGTGGATCGCGGCATTGTCGTGTTGGAAAGTCCACGGCAGATCTCCTAACACGTTTTGGGAATGGGGGAAAGATATTTCAAGTACGTTTTTGTAAGTGTTTGCATTCATATTTGCAGTTAAAAACTGTAACACACACGTACCGTAATAGGCCCTTGATGTTCCTCAGTCAAGAAACTCAATGTTTAGCTTAGAAAGCTAAAAGCTAATTGCCAAGCCATTACAAAACCGACACAAGGAGCCATGAGCTCATAAAACTGGAAACTGCTTCCGAGTGTATGCTCGGAAGAATTTTCAAAGTGTCATTCTACCGTTACTTTTGATGTCATAAATTAATAAACTTAAACGTTTGTGAAAGTGTGTGTGCGATTGCCGTTAGTCATGCACCTCGCGCGAGTGTAGGTACATATTTGAACGCTTGCTCCAAAATGCCACGACAAAGTCTTATTTGCGCGTAGTCGTGAAATTGACAGCAACTTGCGGCTGCCAGTTTGATGGATGGTTGCAATTTTCGGTTTTGTGTAACACAATTAAAAAGTCACAAAGTTGTTGGAGGCGTCATTACAGTAGCGCGCACATACACACACACACACATATATATATAAATGTTATATTATATCATGCGCTCTTATTTTTACATTTCAGTACCCCTCCATGCCGAAGTTGTTGATTTGACGCCACAATATAGCGCCACACCCGCCGTCTTAACCAGCAGCAGCAGCAGCGTTACAGTGGCTGTCACATCCGCGGCGACAGTGTCGACCTTCGTCGAACCCTACTTGGAGGGCTATGCCTCAACAAACGTAACCGCACAAATCGGCACGCACGCGTATTTGCCATGTCGGGTAAGTGTATTGAAGAAATGAAAAAGCCAAAGCTATTAGAAACAAAGAAGCGTTTATTGGCAGGTTGCTCATACGCCCGTGCGAACCAGCACTCGTTAGACAATTCTTTATTACGCATCATTGAATTTATATCATATATGTACATTCCCCTTTATTCCAGTTTTATATTTTATGTCTTGTTTTTATTTCCGAAGCATTCAGTTTTTGCTGCGTTGCTTCCCACCTGCTCAAAATATTTAACGTTTTTATTCACACGTCTTTCTATTGCAGCATTTTTCGTTGAATCATTTTCTTTACTCGGCTTTGCTTTCTTATTGTCTCCCATTTGTAGTCACATTTATTGCGCGCTAGTTAACGAAATATTTTTGTTTCCAACGCATAGAAGAATCAATTTAACTCTCGCATTTACAAGTTGAAATGCGAAGGCGTACCTTTGTCTAGTTATTTATAATTTCGTATATATTTTATGTTACAAAAGAGCTGAACCGTGTGACAAGCCCAAATGACTGCTTGGCAAATCTATTTTTATGCGCTTATACGTCTGTAGGTGTTCGACAAAAATCATATTTCTGACACAGAATTCAAACAAAGCTTCTTAATTGACAGCAAAGTAAAATATTTGTATTTATAATCGGCATTTATTAAACAAAAACAGATATTTTTGGAAATTTTTTTGAAAAACAAAACAAAAACTTTAGCTTAGTGTACTGAGTACATATTACAAATATCAAAGGGTACTTGCAAAAACTTGATTTCGATGGGTCAGTTTGTATGACAACTACATGCTATATTAATACGAACAATTCAACGATTGTTGTACTACATATACTAACTTGAAAAATACTACATGCCAAATTTCGTGAAGAAACCTCTTCAAATGCAAAAATTGTCTTTGCAAGGATTCGCTTTCGATTATTCGGTTTGTATAGGGCCTGCATGCTATAGTGATCCGACCTCTAAAATTTCTGCTGAGATCGCATCTCTGCTTTACTCAAAAAATTAAGCCAAATTCGTGCAGATATCTAGTCAAATGAGAGAGTTTTCCACACAAGAACTATATTCCGATCGCTCAGTGTGTATGACAGCAATATACTATAACGGTTCGATATGGGTGGTTCTAACAAATGAACAACTGCTTCATGAAAAAAGAACGAAAACTGAAGGACTTGAAGGACGAACACGGCTATACCGACTCAGCTCCTCACGCCGATCATTTATATACACAATTTATAGAGTCTCGGACAATTTCTTTTGAGTGTTACAAGCATGGCAAACGTAATATACCCTATTCAAAGTATAAAATTAAAAATGTATGGAAAATTGTATGGAAAAAATTAAACTAATTATTGAGTCCTTTTAGGTACTGGTATGCTCACTATTATGGTATGTGTCACTTTTTCCACAATCCCAATTATATATTTGCACTGACTTCACTTATAGTAACAAGGAAGAACTTGCCGTTATAGTTATGGCAGATTAATGCATGTTTGTCTAAGACTATTTTAGAAACAAAGATCCAGCAGGAAAAGACATATACTAAAATAGTAAGTATAGCAAAAATATTCTCTCTCAACTTCCTCACGTTTCCTTCTTCTTCACTGACGTAAAATCTATCTCTCGAATGCTCCTAAAGCCGACGCATCAGACAAAATCTTTTTCCTAGTCAAATCCAATATTTTAAAGGAACTAATGTTGCTTGTAAAACAAGAGCAGTGACAAAAATGTACTTGAAACTCGAAACTGGAGAGCAATAAATATTTACGACGGTAGCAATATTATAACGTCAAATCCAAGCAGCGAACATTTTTGGGCGGATACTTGTCTTTTTAACGTTTATTAACCTGTTTTACAGTACCAGCTCAGCTTCCAATTACAAGAGCTAAATCAAAATAGTGCTCAAGCTTAGCTCTAAATTAAAAGCAATGTCAAGGTGGCTATAATAATATTTCTAAAATTAAAAAAAAAAAACTTCAAAGAAGCAATAGAAGAAATACTATTTATTGCTATAACTAAAAACAGAAGTGGAACTCTTCGAAAACTCATATTGCTGTTGAAAGAAAATTGTCCAGCAGTCATATTTAAGCATTCTGCGCTAGAATAACGTCACGAAAGCAACGACTCATGCTGCTCTCTATCATAATGTTGGGCTTCAATTTATTTTACCCGCCCAAAACGCCAGTCAAATTCATTATAAATACATGCCGTGGGTATAAAAATTATTTACAGTTAAGAACATGAATGTCAAAATCACGAAAATAAAAGCTTAAGTGTCATTAGGTTGCTGTTAAAAGATAATGAAATACCCAACTAAGGTTAGCGAAACTGTAGAGGAGATAACACAAAAAACCATATTTTTGCGGCTAACGAGATTGCTACAAGGCACAAGCAGATGAAAGTAACGGTAAAACTAAAACTGAAAGAAAAAAAAATTGGTTTATCAGCAGGTGATGTAATGTTGCCGTGGCATCGTAGACAAGTCAAACAAATTTAATTAGGCAGAAGTAGCCTGCACGGTGGCTATGAGGACGCCAAAGCGTATGCCATTGAGAATGAAACTGAGAGCGCTTGTTGTAGTAGTGGAGCGTCAAAATTAATAAGACCACGTTTAAGCGCTCGGATTACCTGATGATGAGTTTCATAATTACAAAAGATTATTGCCGGGTGTTAGCGGCACAAAGTCAACAGCGCTGCTCGAAAATACTTAGCAGTTTATATACGTGGATATTATATAATAATATACTAGCGTTATACACATAGCATAGTGCAATGAACGAAATACAATTTGTATGAAATGCTAATCTCATTGCGGCACACAAAGCAAATATTTACAAGGAAATATGTTCCAGGCTCTATGTGCCTTCAAGAGAAGTGATGAATAACTAAGCTTTCATAATGGGAAAAAGCGAACTCCAGCAGATAATTGAACTACGAAAATTATTTTCATTTATTTATATAAAATTTCTGTTGACAATTTTTTGCCGCAAGATCGCGTTGGCATTTTAATGAATTAATTTCCCGATAGTTGATTATTAGCGGGAAAGCGCTGTGACATCAAAGCATAGGGCACAGCTTTCAAATCTATACAGCACTATAAGGAGCGCTTTTTAAGCAGGGAGTCTTTGAGAACTATGCGTTTTCGTATTACTGCCACCAAATCTTAAATTTAAAATCGGTATTCATTCTAGCTAACCATCAGCTTGCTATGCATTTCACTTCGTTCATAGAAAGCGAGTCCTTTGTGTTCATAAACTCATTTACATTTAACGCCAAATTTGGTTGTGCCTTGCGCCAGCTGCAGCTTGAACCCACAGCGTTGTTAATTTTCGGTGAATGGTTATTGTGTGAGTAACTGTACGTATTTGTGTGTGTGTGTGTGTGTGTGTGTGTGTGTGTGTGTGCGTGTTATCTGTCGCATGGAAACGTCGACTTAATTAATGAAATTTGTAGCTGCTAACGGCTGCTGCCTCCAGTTGCTAACAGCATTTCCCATTCACTACTGTCATTCGTACAAAGTTCGGCGTAGCAGGTGATTTGCATATCCTTTTGTTCGCGTAATTGGAGTGTCGCATCGTCGCAACTACAACGATAACAACAATAACAACAATAACAACTATTGTGTACTTTCCGACACCCATACATTTGTACGTGTATAGGTATCTGTGCGCGCAAACAACCTGGGGATTTGTTTTAATGACGGCATCCCTTTCTTTTCGTGGGGTATTAATGAAATCGATTCGATTTTCGAAAAGTTCTTAATTAAAAACATGCGTTCCAATTTGTCGAAATTTCAATTTATTTAATTTTATCTGACAAGCGGCAGCAGTTATTATCACAGCGGCGTGTTTGCAGTGCGGTCAAGCAGGAAGTGCAAATACCATTCGCTTTTGAATAGCCAAATCTAAGCGTGAAGAAGTGTGACTGGGTGTTTGTGCAGGAGTGATTTAATATATTATAATGGTGAAAAGCAAATGATTTCGTTAATTGAATTCTATTCACGCATATTTGAATGAGTGAAGTAATGCAAGAAAATAATTTTATGTATGTAATGGCACGAAATATTCCCTATCATCAAGTTGTAGTAGAAATATTTGAGGATTTATACATACAAAGTAAACTAGTGAATTTAAAATTGATAAAAACGGAAAAAAAATTCATAATAGTGCATGAAAGCTATCGGAAACAAAAGAAAAAGTAACAATTATTAAGGAAAAACAATTTGAGTGCGAGCTGAGTTCGGGAAAAGAAAGCGTCGTAGCTAAATTTTTAAGGGTTAAAGTTGCTTTTACTCGTTTCCTTTCCCAACTGCTAGCTCTGTAGAAAAAGTTATACATCAATCTTGTAGGTAAATGAAGATCCATAACTCTTGAATACAGATATTTTTCACATAACCTAAATTTGTATGTGAAGAATACACATAAAACAGTTTTTGTGTTTTCTACTTTTATCTTCTACAAAAATTGTTTGCTTTCAGGAACTTACCTTCTTATGAAAAATTCCCGGCTCAAAGTGCGACGAACAGTCGACGAAGATAATTTCTCCGTTGTACTTTTGTCAGTCATAGTCAGCATCGCAGGTCATCGCAGGGTCACGCAGAGACCAGTATGGCTCTTAGCAATGACAGACCCAGTACTGTTTTGTAAATCAAAAAAAGTAATCATCTTTAAGCATGTCTGTGCTTGACGCGCTTTCAATAGGTTTTACGGCGTCACCATCAATACCACTTCCTGTGTCCTTATGTCTGTCCAGAACCGCACGATATGGGCTCTTAAATGTTTTAAGCATTGCATTCTGATCTTTTAGCGCCATAATGCAGACATGTGCCGCCACCAGAGTATTGCAATCATGTTTCTACAGTCTCTTCTTTCAAGAGTGGGTAGGAACCATGGCTATTTTTGATCTGCCGCCTTGTACGTGACATTTTTAGTTTTGCATACTGATAGATCATAGCATCGAATTTTCACTTTTCTTGCCATGCCCTTGATCAGTTCGTCGTAAAGACA